TCACTGTGCTGAGGACGCTCATCCTCACACCTCCCAGCATGCTTCACTGTGCTGAGGACGCTCATCCTCACACCTCCAGCATGCTTCACTGTGCAAGGACGCTCATCCTCACACCTCCCAGCATGCTTCACTCTGCTGAGGACGCTCATCCTCACACCTCCCAGCATGGCTTCACTGTGCTGAGGACGCTCATCCTCACACCTCCCAGCATGCTTCACTGCGCTGAGGACGCTCATCCTCACACCTCCCAGCATGCTTCACTGTCCCCATGACGCTCATCCTCACACCTCCCAGCATCCTTCACTGTCCCCATGACGCTCATCCTCACACCTCCCAGCATGCTTCACTGCGCTGAGGACGCTCTATTATTATCATGCCTCTACCTTTACATACATGTTCCCTTATTGACATGTTTAGCCCCCCCTCCATGTTTACCCCCCCCTCCATGTCTAACCCTAACCCAAACCCTTGAAGACACAGATTCCTTTTCTGCGGGGAAAACAGGAATCTTTACGACTCAACCACACGGCGATTAAACTTTCATTTATAATATGTTGTTGTGGAAAAACCTCCAGAAGCAAAACCAGAAACAGAAAGAAGGAGAAGCCGTCCTCACCATCCTCGTACGGCGTGTACTCCGCCCGGTAACAGCCGTCCCCCCGGTCCGTCAGGTAGGCGTCCGTGCTGCTGCCTGATTGGTTGGAGATGCTGACCTTCACGTGGCTGCCGCCGCTCTTAATGTGCGCCCGAGCGTCCACCGTGAAGTGCGTGGTCACCTCCCTCAGGACGCCTGGAGAGAGGAGGTCAGTCCTGAATGTCCTCGTCCAACATGAGAGCAACATGATAACAAAGGTACCCCAACTGAGAAAAGTCTGATTCTTTTTTAAAGGTGACATTTTTTGATTTTTTTTGAAAAAGGGAGAATTTTAGATTTTGAGGAAAAAGTCAAACATTTTGAGATTTTGAGAAAAATACAGAATTTTGAGATTTTGAGGAAAAAGTGAGAAGCGCTATTCCTCCATGTTGTGACTGTGTAACTCCCTCTCTTGGATATCAGCATGTGAAGGACACTGTTCAGGAACTAGTTGATGCTCTGTATGTGATGACTATCATCACAGACAGATGGATCCTGAGGCGACGGGGACCAGGGAGAGGAAGCCGAGAAAACAACGTGAGATAATCTCCCAAAGGAACGATGAAACACGGAGAGGAGAGCAGACGGTTTTAATGATAAACGACCTTTAGTTTTACTGAATTTCTTAATTAGGTTAATGGACCATAATAGACGTGTTACTGAAGCCCGACCTGACATGGTTCCATGTTGGCACCTTTCAGATTGTAAATGTCGTAAAACCACTTTAGTTTCCAGACTGGTGATTTAAGGTCAGATTTAATGAGGAAGTCAATTATGACACTTAATAAAGTCACACGAGAAGCTGCTGATGACACTAACGAGGCTCCAGCCTCTTTGGTTGGTTGTAGTATGTTTTCATGCAGACCGGCTCTCTCCTACAGAAACTTCTCAAGCTCCAAACATCGCTGTAAAGTCTGCTGACGCTAGGTACCAGCTATTAGGCTTAGCTGTATGTAGCAAGACTTTCTACGGCATGAGGCACAAAGTGAATAGCTGTTGTTGCATAGACCTGATGCTTTTAGTATACCGTTTAAAAGAAAAGACTACAGGGCCAAAGTAATTCTGCTCCTCGAGGAGTAAGTGCTTTTCTATGTGTCTACATTTAGATTCTAACGTTTCACATGTACCGCTCAGATCCTAGAACACAGAAAGAAGCTCTTCCTCACCTCGCGGCTCCACCCCCGGCCCGTGGACTTTCAAATGTTATCTTTAATTGTATTAATCTTTAATATGTATATATTTTTGTATTCAGGATTGTGGGAAACGGTATTTCGATCTCTGTCTGTACACAAACTGAAAGATTGACTTTGATAAATAGATCTGACACAGGCTTTTACCTGTCCTATAACCTATAGATACAGAAGCTCCTCCTCACCTCGCGGCTCCACCCCCGGCCCGTGCACCTTCACCCCGCTGGCGTCCACGCTCGGCTCCACCTGCAGCCGGGCGGGGAACTCTGGCACGGCGTGGCCTCCGTACTTGATGGTGATGGTGTACATGCCGGGGCTCTGCGGGGTGTAGGTGATGGAGTACGTCCCGTCGCCGTTGTTCTGCACTCGGACCTCCGCCTTGGCCCCGGAGTCAGAGAGGATCTCGATGGTGAGTTCAGCTTCTCCGGCTTTAGAGCAATCCACCGTGAAAGAGCCGTCCTCGTTCACCTTCCCTCGCTCCAGACCTACGATAGAAGCACACTTTACTGGTCAGATCAGGTCTGAATGCTCCTTGCATCACAGCAGCTCCATGTGGAACAGCAACAGACAAACATCAACACACATGAGAAACAAACAACTCAGTGAAAGCACCGCCTGCTGACCAATCAGAGCTCAGTGTGCGGAGTTTAAAGCGATCAAGTCATATTACAGGAGAAAGGAAATACAGAAAAGCTGCCGTTGCAGGAAAGACGGCCGGCAGAAATCACCGACTGTGTGAACGTGAACATTAATAGAATATCACCTCCCATCTTCAGAGCAATCTGACTATTAGAACATTAGCGTTAAGAAAGCTTACTTAAATATCTGCCACAACATAAGTAACCGGATCAGAGTAACATTAAGTACAGTCCACGGCATATCACATCATAATGTATCATATATCTCCTTATCTGAGTCAGCTGAGCCGTATCTGGCCGTGCAACACTCACAGTGTCACATACTGGATGCAGAAGGATTATTTGAAGCAACACATTAAGTTGAGGAAACACTCGAGTCAAATGTAATGAAAGTCAGATGGTGTCTTAGACGGGGCAGTGATATCATAAACCTGTTAATGTACGCATTCAAACACTTGTTCTGTTACCAGCTGTATTCACCTTGCAGGTGCAGCTATGTGGCTTTGATCCTGGATCAAGTGTTTAAGTCATGGATGTTT